AAAAAAAAAAAAAAGAAAAAGAAAATATTATATTCACCAGACTTCCAAAGGCGTCTGTGACATAAAAATAGTTAAGAATGCCTACCCCAAACTTTTTTGTTTTTAGGAACCACTTTTAGATTATTTTAATAGACATAAATGTAGCCCACTGGGCCTCTTTCTATATTCAGAAACTGGCCAATTCTTCACAGAGCAGCATGATTATTTTTTAACTGTGGGAACTGAGACATTACAGGAGGCTGTATTGTCCTTAGTAAATAAACAATCTAGGGAAAAATTACAAGGAAAGAAAAAACATTTCTTCCCAAGCTGGTGATTATTTAGTGGGAAGCAGAATTCAGATATCATTTTCCAACTTCCATTTTATAGGATACTGAGTTTTTTCATTTAAAAAGACATAAATAGCGTTTCCAAATCCTACCCACAGGGAGAAAATGCTAAATATGCCTTCAGATAAGGTACACTGCCTCAATAGTTTCCAGGTGGCAAGTATTAAAAGAAGGAGAAAGAGTATCGTTATTGATGGCTTCAACTGGCTGGCTCTGGGGTCACATAGCAGGCATACCAGGCAAAGGGTTAACCTCCCATTAACCAGGCCATACAGATAAGCTATTCATAACCTTGGCTGTTCCCCAGCGAGATAGATACTCACGGTAAGTACTCTTTAACTCTCAAAAACAAGCCAGGCACAACAAAATCTGAGACTTGTCAATAAATAAAGATAAACATATTTATTCCTCATATCTCAAAATCATGTTTTATGAGCTTTGGAAGGAAGTTGTTTTCATTGATGAGGGTTCTTCTATGGTGTCATTGAAACCAACTTCAGTTTATATAAAGTATCTGCATCAGGATAATTTTTTTAAGCAGTTTCTTTTTTTTTTAGGTTTATGTGAGGGTACAAACAACTAGATTACAATGTTTGCATCTGTTAGGTCGAGTCCCTCTTGTAGGTGTGTCCTGCACCCAAGAGGTGTGCGGTATACCCTTACCTTGTGCCCATTAAGTGGGAGCACCCCTTTCCCCTTCCCTTTCCCCTCTGCCCGCCCCTTTGGTCCTCCTCCCCACAACTTAAATTGAATTGTTTTTCTCTTACGTGGGTGCAAATAGTTTCTCTGTGTGCTATTTAGAAAGACAGGATAATTGCTGGAGTTTCAAATTTAATTGATTTCGTGCACCACCCTGAAACCCATGGCTGCAACTAGACAGCATGAAAATACAGACGGATCTGCAAGTCTAAAGATTCCGAAGCTATCGGAGGCCCTGTGCAGTTATTGTGCATTCATAGGCCCTTCCCTTTTCTTCTCTTTTCTTCACTCGACAGTTCTACCAACACGCAAAGGACTGGTGGCTCTTTGGATTCTATTTCTGCATGCCCCTGGTGTGCACCGCAATCTTCTACACCCTCATGACCTGTGAGATGTTAAACAGAAGGAACGGCAGCTTGAGAATTGCCCTCAGTGAGCATCTTAAACAGGTAAATCCCATAGTCATGAAAACCTGGCCAGAACTGGTCAATAGTCCAACAGCAGGGCTACAAAAACTGTCTTGAAGCAGATTTGACCCAGTTTCCTAAAAATAAAATGCAGTCTTGTAACTGTTTTCTTCATAGTCAGAGCATCAGGAATTTCCTTATGAAATGAAGAGTTTGCCTGATGAACAGGTGGTCCTGGAGGTTGGGCCCAAACAGAGGAGCAGTATATTCCTTTATCTTGCCCACATGTGTCTGTGTGGGTCAATACATTGAATTGGGCTTGGAACTGTTTCAGGACAAGAAGAAGCAAGCATATGACTTTCTTTCCAGGAAGACTCATATAGTCTTGTTGAAACAAAACACAATAATCGTGGTATATGTACACTGTGGAATATTATGCAGCCTTAAAGAAAGATGGAGACTTTACCTCCTTCATGTTTACATGGATGGAGCTGGAAAATATTCTTAGCAAAGTATCTCAAGAATGGAAGAAAAAGTATCCAATGTACTCAGCCCTACTATGAAACTAATTTATAGCTTTCATAATTATAGCCCAAGAATATGGGGAAAGGGGAGAGGGAGGGGAGGGAAGGGGGAGTGGATGAGTGGAGGGAGGGTTATTGGTGGGACCACGCCTATGGTGCATTTTACAAGGGTACATGTGAATCTCTCTAAATGTAGAATATAAATGTCTTAACACAATAACTAAGAAAATGACATGAAGGCTATGTTAACCAGTTTGATGAAAATATTCCAGATTGTACATAGAACCAGCACACTGTACCCCATGACTGCATTAATGTACACAGCTATGATTTAATTTTAAAAAAATGTTTTAAGATAAGATTTTCCAAAAAAATAAAAATAAAAAAGAAACAAAACACAAACCATGGAACAACTGGAAATTAGAATCTCAGGTATGGTAAAAGTAGCCTAGACTATAGAACGCCAGGCAGGATATGGGATAGAATGGCGGTGACACTGTTCATGGATGAAGGAGGTTGAACCTGGCCTTGGAGGACAAATGAGATTTGGGAAGAAGACAACAGAGGACATTTCAGGTGGAGAGTAGGGTCTAGTTAGAACGTGGAATGGGCACCGTGCATTTAGTGAGTGGGAAGTGAGTGGGAACCCCACTAGAGCAAGGGCTAAGGTAATACTTATGAGAGACAAGGGGTCATGTACATTAGGAAGGTAAGCTGCTAGAGGGGCCAAAGTTCTAGAAGGAATGTGAACATGTCAATAGGAGGCTACTGTTTACTCTCCTGGGAAGAAATAGAATAGATAAAACTGTGGGTGCGAGAGGGTAACACGTGACTTGCTTGTTGGCTCAGTGACATTGGGTAAACTGCTTAATCTCTCTAAACTTCTAGTTTCTCATAAAATGTATGTAATAATATGTCATAGGGACTACTGACAGCAGGTAAGGTGCCTAACTAGTACCCCGCTCCTAGTACGTACTCAGCAAATGTTAATTTAGATTAATTCTGTGACTCAAACTGGCACCGCAGGTGAGCTCTCAGTCACAATGGAGAAATCTACAAGGATGTCCAGCCACACCAAAAGTTAATGGGAGTCACTGGAGTCTGTAAATCTGCCCGGGTGTTATAATTACCATGAGAAAGCGTCACTCCTCATCACAACTCTTTTCAACTACTGTACTGATTCTTCTGAGCTTTAGCTCTTCATCTGTAAATTAAACATGAATCAATGTTATTATGAGAATCAAAGGAATTAATATGCATGTGTGTACTTTGTAAAATCTAACATGACATACAAATGGTAGCTATTATCTTTTATTAACATTTAGCAGGAAAATTACATCAAGAAACTTTAGCATGACTTTGTTCAGGCATAAATGTTTCAAATACTCCAGATGTCAACATGTTAAGCAAATAGTACCTCTCATTCTTGCAGTGAAAGTAATTAGTTAGAATAGATTTGTGGAAAAGAGTGTTTGAAAACACAGATTTTTGCATCAGCACCATGGTTGAGCCTGTTGAAGCTTTGAGTGGTACCCATGTGAAAATAATCAAATAGCAAGCAATTGGGTACAATAGTAACACGTCACTTCACATTCACATAGAATTTTAAGTTTTTTAAAGAGCATTTCCCTGTCTTCTTCTTATTTGATTCCTCCAGAGTGATTCTTCTCACCCTGAGAGGTAAGAACAGATAGTATCCTTATTACACAGGTGGTTAAGATATTTTCTCAATTAAACAGAGATTAGAACCCAAGACTTGGTACCCATCCTGTACCTGGACACATCCTTGGTTACCCATCCTGTACCAAGGATGTGTCCTTTGGTCAGACTCAAAGCTGTAGCAGTTTCTATCAGCAGAAGAGCAAAGCTGGCTGGGAGTCCTTCAGGTAGGACCATGAGAGAGCTACCACGGAGCAGAAATCCTGGTCACCCTTTAGCTAATATTCTAAGGGGCTCAGGGTCTTGCTTCTTGCTTGATTATCTCTGATCTCTCTTCATTATACTGATAACAGTTTTATCAATCGGGGGGGGGTGTTTGGGTGCTGGTAGTAGAAAACCCAGAATAACAGTAATTCATCTAAAGGGGGTTTTATCTTTCTCCCACAGCAAAAAAAGTTCAGAGGCTGTTTGTTCAGGGGTCAAGGAACTTAGAGGCCAGGTGTCTGCTCTTTGGCTGATCTTGCCTTCAGTCTTGGAAAACAACACCAGTGGCTTGAATTTTTTTTTTTTTTTTAACAGAGTCTCACTCTGTTGCACCTGGGCTAGAGGGCAGTGGCTTCATCATACCTCACTACAGCCTAAAACTCATGCACTCAAGCGATCCTCCTGCCTCAGCTTCCCAAATAGCTGGGACGACAGGTGCCCACCATGACATCTGCTAATTTATTTTTCCATTTTTGGTAGAGAAGGGGGTCTCCCTTGTACTCATCCTGGGGGGCTTACTGCTGTTATAACTGATTTCCAGGCAGCAGGAAGAGAACAAAACACATCAGTGTGTGTGTGCACCAAGGAGTATGCCCCCACTGTTAAGTAACCTCCCCCCACCCCAGTACACTCCTTTTCTATTTTTCTGGGAACGTTGTTTTTCTGTGTACACAAAATGACCCTTTAAGAAGATGCCTGCAAATTAAAATGCTTTATTTCTTCCCTCAGTCACTACTCTGATGCTATATCCCAGCTAGCTCAATAACTATGAAAGATTATAGAACTCCCAATTCAATTGCTTCTCCGCCTTCTGGCTAAGATCAAGTGTAAAGAACTCCCAATTCTTTGGGCTACTGTAGCAATTTGTGACAACTGCCCCAGAATCTTTCTGAATGGCTCAAATCAAGTGGCTCATTTGCCTTCCCAGACTTAATGTTACCTGCTTCAGGCAAAACCAGCATAGCCCTTCCAAACCCTGTTTTCAATTGGTTTTATTTTGACATTAACTGATTCCAATTACAGAAAAGTTACATTGTATGTTCCTAATCAGTCTTCTAAGTGCGTGCAGTATATATTCAAGCATAAGGCACACAAATGAACGGTTGCAGATTCTTCCTAATCTAGAGTTTTTCTGACTCTGAGCAGACTCAAAGACAGGCCGGCTTCCAGTGGAAGTCAGCCCAGGGTCAGTCAGCATGCTGCAGTTTTCTAACCATCACTACTGATAATCTTTTACCCTCATCCTTCGGTCTCCAAACAATGTATCTTTGGAGACTACATGTTGTTAATAAAAGAATTTAAAACCAGAAATATCCTGAGGCTAACTGTCTTTACAACCAGGAAAAGGAGAAAACCTGCTGCCCTGGTTTTTCTCTTTTCTGTTCCCTGCTCTTATTCTGTTTTCCAAAGGTCTTTGTGGATTTATCCATTCATGTTCCGTTCAGTCATCTTGCCTTCGATGACATCATTCATGCTAGTTAGTTACCTGTTATTAAGCTTTGAGCTTATCTGCTCCTTGTGATTCCCACCCCACCCACCTACACACAGACTCAGTGTCACTGCTGGCTCACCTCCAGCCAATTCCCACCTCTCTTCTGGCATAGAAACTTTGTCCTGCAATAAAGTCCTGACTTAAGGATAATAAAAGATATGCATGTCATAAAAACATTTGTACCTCCTTAATATTTTGAAATTAAAAAAAAAAAAATCCTTGGTCCTGGCCCTAATAGCCAACCTGAGGCCACCATCCTTCCTGACAGCTGCCTAAAAGTATCCTTAGCAACTCCTTGATTAGAAAGTGGGACTTGGAAGCTTTGAGTGGTGCAGGCGGCCTACGGCAGGCCATGCTCTTGGCTCTTTCCTTCTTTATTTTTGTCCGTATCTTGTACCTCCTTACTCCTTCATCTGGTATAAAAACACTAAACTTACTGGACTTCTTTTTTTTGTCTCACTTTCCTTTAGCGTCGAGAAGTGGCAAAAACAGTTTTCTGCTTGGTTGTCATTTTTGCTCTTTGCTGGTTCCCTCTTCATTTAAGCCGTATTTTGAAGAAAACCGTGTATAATGAGATGGACAAGAACCGATGCGAATTACTTAGGTACGATCCTATGTCCTCATTAGGAAATGGGAGTTTCTCTGATGTTCACATTTATAATACGATGCTTTTACAAAACTATCTAGTTTACATTCTCATTAGGCCTGAAAATTGAAATTGCCAAATTGATGTTTTTTTTAGCTGACACAACCACATAACTAATCCCAAAACTTATGCAAGCCACATCTATAATCTGGCTGCTCCCCTCCTAAGGCTATGCACAAGGGTTTGAGCTAACCAAGAGGTTGATATATCTATAACCATCCTGCGAAATCGAAGCTGCCATTGAAACAAGCACTTTTTACAAAATTCTAACTGCCATGTATAAGAAATGGCTTCTGGGCAAGAAAAATGCTTATTCTAAGAATAAATGCTGGTTAGCAGATTTTCTAAAACAACACGTTCTAATCGTTCCACCCTCTTTTCTTTCGCTCCAGTTTCTTGCTGCTCATGGATTACATCGGTATTAACTTAGCAACCATGAACTCATGTATAAACCCAATAGCTCTATATTTTGTGAGCAAGAAATTTAAAAACTGTTTCCAGGTAAGATGATTTTGCGAGCCTTTTTTAAGGACAACCGAGTGAGTATGTTAAGTAGCAAACAGACGTGGCTTATTCCCGCTGTAACGTACTTTGGAGGACTGTACTTGTTTTCAGTAGAAAAGTGAAAATCGTATTTCATTACTAAGAAAGAAGGTCAGACTGTCAGCATAACAGAAAACCAGTATCGAGTCAGATAATGACACACATGCAGAGGTTAAAATTGAAAAGACTAACTTAATTACATGTCAGTTTAGTAACATCCTTTCAAAGGAAATGCTCAAATGTGAGCACCAGGCCACACAGAGTACAGGAAGCCTATTCACACCTAGACGATAACTGTAGTCTCAATGAAACGTAACCACTATTACTAAGAAAGTCCTCACTAAATGCTGTTCCGCCTCTTCATGGAAAGTAAATGCTTGTTGCTCTGGAAATCTGAACTAATATTATTCATTCAAATCCAGTTTCTGTCTGTTTTCAAACAGCTAAGCCACTCTTGTCCCCCCAAAGCTCTAAGTATGTCTTAATGATGTGTCATTTGTCCAGTTCCTAG